AAGGCTGGAGCTGAGCTCAGCCCATGGATCAGCCCCATTCCCTGCCTTTCCCAGCTCCTGGCACCCCTCAGCAGGACCACTTTGGAAGCACAGCCCTGATCCTACCCAAGAAAGAGCTGGAAAACCACATTCCTGCTCCCAAAGAGGAGGCTCAACAGAAGGGATGGGATGGCTCTCCTGGAATTCCAGGGGAGCCCAAACAGAAGAGCCACAAATTCCTGCTTTTATCCAAAACATCCCACACAGTTTCTACAAGAGAAAATGAGATTCTTGGCCTTTTTCTCCAAATTAATTTAGGCTGATCCTTAATTACCTTAATGTGGGACAAAACGGGGCACAGGAATTTTTGGGATGGAAACAAAGTTCCCAGGAAAAAAAACAAACCAGGATGCTTTTTCCAGCTGGAATGCACGTCAAGTCACCCCACTAAACTCATTAGGGAAAAATATCCCAGGAAAACAAGCTCAGCCCTTCCAATCTCATTAACAGATCCATGACTCAGGAGGCAAAGTCCTTCCTGCCACCTTCTGGGATCGGCTCTTTATTCCAAAAGTCTCATTAGAGGCCTCTCAGTGGGCATTTTGAAGAGGATTAACCTGCTTAGGCCCAGCTTTAGTCTGAATTTAGCTTCTTATCTCCACCCAGATCTAGCCCAGGGAGAGGGAAGGAACAGCCTTTTCCCAGGATTTGGGAGGTTGGTTGTTCCCACCTCTCTGTTTCCAGAGGTTATTTGCAGCTGAGCAATCCCACCCTGCTGACTCAGGGAGCTTGGATGGGGCAGGACCTTCCCTCTCCACCCTCAAATCCCAGGATTGGGCCTTAAATTTCCCTCGGGATGTTTTTGGAAAAGTGTCACTGGTGAAGCTGCTCAGTGGAGGCACCAACTCCTGGTTTTGGTGACACAGGAGGGAAAATTAGAGCTGTGCAATCCCACAAAGAAGAAGAAAAAGGACAAAATTCCCAATTCTCCAGGTAAAAATCATCCCAAAAGTGACTCAACTCACCCTGAAGAGTCTTGGAGCTCCACGGATGGCCCTTGGGGGAGGGTTCCTTTGGTCTCCTCCTGGAATATATTGGGAAAGGTGACCTGGAACAGGTATCCCAAAAGCAGCATCGCTCCCAAAAATCACCCACCCCCCTCACCCTGCCACCATTTTCCCCTTCCTTGGCCGGAAACCAGGAGCCCAAACCATCCAAGATTTTCCAAGCTTTGAGGTTTCTCTGGGGTTAGGAAATCCCTGCCTTCCTTCCAACAACACCATTAAAGTATTTTATGGAGTAAAAACCCGAAAGCTCTATCCCTGCTCAACCACCTGCCCCTTGGATGCACTGCTGGGATAGAATTCCAGGACTAACAGGAATGGGATGGCTCCAAAATAAAGATGCATCAAGTGCCAGCTTGGCCCTTAGGGGGTGAAATCACCCTTGGAGCAGATGGCAAGAGGGAAAGAGGGATGAGGACAAAGCCACAGGGTGGGAAACACAAGAAAGGGACAAAATAGAGGGAAAATTGGGACAGAACTTGGAAGCAAACAAGCTCAGAGGGGACACAAACCCTAAAATCCGCCCCTTGGAGGCCACCAGGAATCTTATTTTAATATTTGCACACTTGTTCTCAAAGCTGAAACCAGATTTTTTTTCAGCTCCTGACCACACCAGACACTCTGAAACCCATCCCAAGCTCCTCCAACCCTCTCCAAGCATCCAGGCTCTCCTTCGAAATTCCGCCTTCCCGAGTTTCTCTTTCAAAGGAACCCAAAACCACAGAGGGATTTTTCTTGAAAGCAGCTGCTAGGTGAACTCATTAAAAGGGGAATCAAAACCTCAGCTAATTAGAGGTTGGTCAGGACAACGTAAACTTTCATTCCCTGGGAATATTCCTGCTCTGAGATTCACAATCCTACAGCTGCTGTCAGGAGTCACGTCAGGAAATTCAGGAACGCACGACCACGACCTTCCAAAGGAAATCCCGCCTGTGGATTCCCGATTTTTGCACCAGGAACAGCAGGACATGGATCACAACCCCCCCCCCCCCAGTGCGGGGAGGGTTTCCAAGGCTGTGGTTCCAGTTTTATCCAGCCAGGAAAGAGTTTGCTGACATTTTAGATCCTTTTCGGAAAAAAAGCCTCTCTGCTGGTTTTTCCACAAGAGGACAAATGGGAATTGTTAATGTGGCCAAAGCAAGATGTTGCAGGAATTGGCCAGGATCAGCCAAAAACCATGGAATGGTTTGGGTTGGAAGGAACCTTAAAGATTATCCTGATCCAACCTCCTGCCATGGGCAGGGACACTTCCCACTATCCCAGGTTGCTCCAAGCTCTGTCCAACCTGGCCTTGGATACTTCCAGGGATAGGGCAGGAAGACCAAATCCCTCAGGAAAGGTGCTGCAGGATGAGACCAATCCCAACATTATGTTTGGGAAGTGACAGAGTCCCCCATGTCCTGGTGCTCCTGGGAAAACACCGAAATGTGACTTATCCAACCCCACAGCCACACAGGGAATTTACTCCTCAATTTAATTCCAGATGCTCCAAAAACAGGGGCTTTCCCACATCCTTAGGCTGTAGGACACCACTATGACAGAT